AGTCTTCGGTGATGTTTCCTCGTATCAAACCCGTTTGTCTTTATTCTCATGATTGTGTTTGTGACGCAGCATCACGGCTCTATTATTGGATTAAGATGTGACCACAACAGACTCTCTGTCACCCACAGGAGCAGCATCTGAACCAGCTGAAGAGAACAGTAGCCTGTCAGGCATGTGATCCGCCGCACACACACACACACACACACACACACACACACACACACACTCAGCCTACCAACGCTGTGGCGGCGTCTGGCCCCGGTGATGTAAAAATAAAAGCTCGGCAGCCCCTCCAGATTCCGGCGGTCCGAACATGCTGCAGCCTCCTGGACTCACACTTGCAGACACACTCCAGAGCACGTGTGTCCATAAACGCCTCCACAGGAGGCAACTGTTCTGGTCCCCGGCCGCCTCCTGAAGCTCTGTGCAGCTGAGGTGGCTTCTGTGCGTTTCCTGACATGTAAAGCAGCGCCGTGCCCACCACAGCGCATTTGGTAAGCAAACCGGCTGGCTGCTGTAAACCAGCCGCTGAGTAAACCTCGTCCACGCGCTGCTGAGAGCTCTATGCAGCCGCAGCAACGCAGAAACAACAAGCAGCAGCCAAACCAACTGTAGTCACACCGAGAGCTGCTGCTAACGGAGCTCAGGACAAGTTTAGTTCGTCCACACAAAGCTTCAGAAACTGTTTCAGGTTCTGTACTTCAGATCAGCTTTGAGGTACTTGAGTACTTCCATGTTCTAGGACTTTCTCCTCCCACTCTGCTGCACCTCAGATGGAAACATTCTGCTCCACAACGTCTATCTGAAAAGCTTCTATAAGGAGCAGTCAGACACAACTGATCATAGAAGAAGTTTTTTTCAAAAAAACACAGAAACTTCACATTTCCAACGTCTACGAGTCACTAACAGACACCAAACTGGGATTTAAATCCAGTAAATGTTACCAGAATGCAATATTTCAGCAGAAATCAAAGATTAAAGAAAATGTTTTGGTATTTTTTGATATATTTTTCTACAAATTTTTCACATTATTTTGAAAAAAAAAGTTATATTATTTATATTTTTGATCTTTTTTTAAAAAAACATATAGAAAAAATTTTTGGGGGGGATATTTGTTGATTTAAATAAAGACATATTTTCCCTGACTAGCATGTATATTGTATGAACCGTATTACTACACTGTTGACTTAAATTGGATTAATTGCACCGTACGCTGTGGATTTTTTAATATTTTCTGCCAAACCGGTAATCTAGAAAACAGATTGATCGACTGTTTGATCCATTTTATGTGCTTTTGTTGTTTTTTTTGGTAACTAATAGTGAGAATGAACCAAAACAATCCGTCTACAGACGCCAACATGCAGGTTTTTCATTATAAGCAACGTTTTTCACTGTTTCAAAGGCTACAGTTGTTTTGTGTTACTTGAAAACATCAATTAAAGCCTCCAGATCGTCTCCATTAACCGCCTCCAGCTAACTTGTTTCTCTTTAATCCACTCTGAAGGCCGTAAAACCGAACAGCGAACACGTTTCCTGGCAGCTCGTCGGTCGTCCATCAGGGTGTCTGATTCACTCCGAGGCTGCCCAGCAGGACGCCGGTTTGCCTTCGTAATGAAACGGATCAGACGTGATGCGATATTCCCTCTGACACGTCCGCTAATCTACGGCCGCACATAAAAGTCCATCAGAAGATGGTCGGAGCCGCTTCTGCAGTAAATCAGTTTGGAGTTATTAGCTCGGCGCTATCGGAGTTCCTGCGAACACGAAGGCGGTGATCACAAACGAAGAAAAAACATCAGTAAAGAGCAGAAATGGTGAAAATCTGGAGCCAGGAGGAATATATAACCGTAAAAACTGTGAAAATAAATCTAACATAGCCACATTTCAGCTGATTTTAATGCAGTAAAACCGTAACGCTGCACTCAAATGCTGTAAAATGTAAAAGCACAGCTGGACATTATTATATTATGATATTATTCTCATCATTTTTATTTGCAGTCAACCTGTAAATAAATACATTTTCTATTTTTTTGCAAAATATTATCTGTAACTTAACCTACATGGACATAAATAATTTTTCATCATTTTTCAGATAATGTTAAATATCTGCACAGAGATATATGTTTTTAAATGTTATTTTAAGTAGAGTAATAAATAGCTTCATTTATTGATCACACGTAAAAAAAAAAAAAAAATTTAGATTTTTGATGCGAATATTTACAGGTTTTTAAATTACTTTTTTTTTTTAGAGTCAACATGTAAACTAATGTTTAATTCTTTACGTTTTCTCTCATCTCTAATTAAAAAAAAACAAACAAGAAAATTCAGTAAAATAACAGTTAAAATTATTTATCATTTTTCAATCCCTAATAATACAGAATTGTTCTAAGAATAACTGCAAACATCAGTGGAAAAATGTGATTTTTTTGCTGATTTATATACACATAAAAAGTGTAATTTTATGTTTAGGCATTGTAAAAATAAGGAATTATTATTCATAAAATTGCAGATTATTGATGTAGGAATAAAATTAATCTTTACTGCTGCAAATTAAAACAAACAAACAAACAAAAAAAAAGTAAAAATCTAATTAAATGGCAACAAGAGTCCCAGAACATCTTTGCTAAAAAATGGTGGAATTCTATAAATAACAGCAAATATCTTTCAAATAATTAGATTTTTTTTTTTGGCTGATTAAAATACAGTTAAAAATAATAAAATAATTTATGGTCACACTTTGAAAAAGAAGAGATTAATATTTGAAAAATACAGACTTTTATTGTGGACGTAATTTCTGGGATTTTTTGTTCTCATAAACACGTACATCCTGTGATTTTTATTTAACAAAACAAGGAAAACTGTTTTTTAAAAAAATAGTGTAACTTTACAGTCAAACATGGAACAACAATGGAGGTTTTTTTTTTAGGATTAATGTAAAAAATTATACTTTTTCTGTGACTGATCAAAACACAGAACATCTGTAAACGAGCAGATGTTTTTCTTTCAGCTAAAAACGGTTGAAAACGTTAGTTTAGTGTGAGTTTGTGCGTCTGTGTTGTCTTCAGAGTTATCGAACCTTTTGTGTCTCTGAGTCCAAACAGCTCTAATTGCTCCTCAGCAACAAAAGGAGAAAACGCAGCGTGAAACGACGAGAGCACAAAACGAGACGAGGACGAAGCAGAAGAAGAAGAAGAAGAAGAAAAAGAAGAGGAGGAGGAGGAGGTTAAAAGACAGAGTGTGAAAACAGGAGGAGGGGCAGAAAGAGAGAAGAAAGGGGGCAGTTAACCTGAAGGTGGTAAAAGAAGAGGGAAGGGGGCAACAGCTTCTTTGAAATGTGCAGACAATGAGCCACCGGATGAACGGGAGGGAGACGAAAACAGAAAGCAGGGAACCATCTGACATCATATCTGCTGACGTTCTGCATCTCCGAGAGCAAACACCGATCTTATTTTTCTTACACTAAATACGGTGTCCCACAG